CAATAAACTATTTTATTCACCACAAAAACTGTTTGGCGTAGGCTGAAATAATATAAACAGAGGGGGGAGGGGGGCTGCTGATGAGTAATAGATCAATTCTTTGTAAAGGCAAGAGAAGCACAGTCTAACATAAAGATGATCATTACTCTCCTGTCTAAACACACACACACACTCAGTCTGTAGTTCCTCAATCAAAACTCATTTAGAGGGATTTGCCTCTGACAGCCTAACAAACAGACATGCTTTCTGCTCGTCTTTACAAAGAAATATTCTCCCCGTTTCATATCCATCAACCTAAAATCAGTTATCGTGATTTATGCCTTTAATAACACGTTGTGCTCTGCGTGATCAGAGTATTACAAGATCCCATTATTCAGTTTTACTTCGTTGTCTAATAAAACAAAAAAGGAAAAACTGCACTAAGATTGAATTTCTGTCAGAATATTTGCAAAGGCAATCAACTCGAGCGTCTGGAAAAAACACAATTACCTATAAAAGACAGCAGCCTATAAGAATAGACCCTGTAAATAATCTTGGTTGGGTTCCCCGTCCTGGCATCACACACACACACAATTCAGAGGAGACACTGATATTGGTGCGCTCAATCTTAGCTCACATCATCGGCTCTCACTCTGTACCAATACGTCATCCACAGCCTAAGAAACACATTCACATGCTTGTGTTTCCACCACATTTCTTATACTTCGTGCACACACACTCTAAGAAGAGATATCCTGTAAGTCACAGGGTAGGATGGGCCGACGTTCTGCAGACCTGCTGCCTGTGCACCTTAAAACGAACCTTTACCTCGCTATACTCTATAATTCATGTTATGAAGACATATTTGTCACTAAAAGCCAGGCAGATTCCCACAATGCCACCATGTAACCCGACTTATTTCCACACCAACTGACTAATGGCTGATTTAGACGTCTGCGGTAGCGTCTACGACGTAACCTACGTTTAGTGGTCGACGTTGTTGCCGCCATTTATACTTGTGCTGGTGCATATTCACCTTATGGTTGAGTCCTGGTGCTTTACATGCAGAGCCAGCAAATAGAAACAAATAAAGTGCCTTGTTCATCCCTTCACATCAATTTGGACAATTTCAACGATCTCACTCCAGAATTTTGCTTTTATATTAGTTTCCATTTAGTTTCCATTAAATTAAAAACTAGTCGCAGGCTGCATGAACATGACATGTAGTTACATGTCGAGGGAGGTGCACTTCAGGTTATGCCATAAGGTTAAAGAAGGGTTTGCAGTTATAGTGGATGATCTCTGTCTTGCTTTGCACTTCTTACACATTCGTTAACGTGATATTTTAATGAGATTTCAAGCTTTACTGCGTTCAGTGTGTTTGCGTATTCGTCACATTGGAAACTGAAAAGAAGAACTCAATATACAGAGGACATATAAAAAAGTAGCTCTCATAGGTGTTTTGAGAACAGCAATCTTGCAATGTTAGCTTTTCCACTAGCTCCCTCTTTTGGAAAGAAGCAGGAGTTGAATCAATTCTCGCCTAAAACTGCTGACACAGGGAAGCATTGAATGTTGGATGCGTCACTTGCTGTAACTGTAAATGCTCATCACAGTGATTGCACGGTAAGCTGCGGTTACCTGAAAGGCGATGCTGCTTGGTGCTTACTCTGTTGGCGTTTTGCACAGTGCAACAAAGGTGGAGCATGGCAAACATGGTGAGAATCATGACCACACTCTGAAGCAGCAGGGTCAGCTCAAACTGCTTCCCTATCCTGCAAGAACAAGACCAACGCAACCAAAACCAATCAGGACCTTAGATACAGAGCTCTTATAGATCAGCATATAGTCCAGTAGGATCAGCTGTATTTAAATACAGAGCCTCAATGCCGACATGACAGGTTAGCACCTTTAAAAGGAATAAAACAGGAAAGCAAAAGGATAAAAATTATGAGTAAAGAACAAATACTTTCTTACCAGAAAAATATACGCAAAATGTTAGCTATGAGCAGCACCAGACAGACTCTGGTGGAGAATCCCTCGGTGTTGCTGCTTTTCTGGATCTCCTGATACTGCGGCACATAAGGCAGGGCTCCCCCAAACACCATTACGAATGATGCCAGCCAGGAGAGCAGCGTCCACGAGCCCTCCATGTCCTCCTCCTGCAGAACCACCTCGGCATCCATCACAGCAAGGATATATTACGAGTGTTCAGGAGGTGGATGAGTCGCAGCAGGAGATCTGACAGACAGCAGGTCACTGTCAGAGAGTCAAAGTAATGGGAGGTCAGCAGCGTTATCATTAATGGGCATTATGAGGCGCCCAGAGTCACTAACCAGAGATTAATATTGAGTGCAATTAAATGCCTCATTCTTATATCTCACATCACAATTTTCATTTTTATTTCCAGCACAAAAGCTGTTACAGGAAAGTAGCCCGTGCACGATGACCAAAACAACCAAACTTCCATAAAACATGAAGCAATATAGCTTCATATTAGAGCCAAAATGATCTCAGTCAGCTGATTCTGGCCTATCAATGCACACATACAATGCAGGCATTAGGGGTGGGGGAAAAATGGATACTGTGTAGCATGGTGATATTTTGTTTGCTAATAATGTATCGATACAGGGACAGCAGAAATCGATACTTTGTTACAAAAAAGGTTTTTGTGCTCTGACTTCAGAGCATGTTGATCCTTTTTCTGAGCAAGAATCCTGACATTCCTTCACTGTCCAAATGTGTTTAATAAACATGACAGTTTACTTATTTTAATTTAAGACATGTTTTATTTTAATTAAGTTTAAAACTTTTTTATTTAATGTAAAATTATATTTTGTTTTAATTTACTTTCAAATTCTTCAGTTGCTGAAGGGGCTGCATAGTTTTCATAAACTGCATAGTTCAGAATAGCTATAATTGTACCAGATGGTTGATTCAGTTAAGTTGGACTAGACTGTAATACAAACCGTTCAGTTTGTCAACAATAAAACTGAAATGAGAGAAAGACTGAGTGTGAGACTTTGATATTAGAGAAAATGAATATTGATAAAGTTTATCTTTATGTACAGAATCTGAATATCGCAAAATATTTAAAAAAATTGCAATAATATCGTATCGTGGGATGTATGGTGATTCCCACCTCTAGCAGGCATACATACTGCTTTTAAGCTTCTTTATGCAGAACATAATGTTGAAGTAGACAACTATGTCATTGTTGCATAGTCTGTTACAGTTTCACATATTTGCTGGGTGAATAGTCAAAAAACAGCTGTTAAATGTTTATCTTTTTATATTTTTTTAAAGTACAAAAGGCTCATTATTGTCCAAATACAACTTCTAAATGTTGGCAGTTATCTTATTTTTCTAATCGTTTTACATCCATCAATCAAAATCATTCAATAACACATCTTAGGCCAGCTCTGCTGTTACAGGTAGTGATTCCAAACAGAGGTGCAGCAAAGAAAATGTTCATTTTTATTCAGGTTTCCCAACAGTTAGAATAAATGGACCCATGACTGTCTGAAAACAGTATACTGTACTTTAATTCATTACATAAATATATAGAGGACAGACAAGTAGCAAACTACTTTTCTATTATTTAAACTTCTTGTCTTTTATAGTGGCCACATAACAGAACAGGGATCACAAGTGGGAGTCAAAGGTCTGGGAATGTACAGCAACAGAGGACATGGACTGCCAGGAGAGGTTAAACAGTCACCGGCTGGTGAAGCTAGGGGCGTTACTAAGGTGACCAGTATGGGATGTGTCAGTAACATCTACCACACTGTTTAAATAACAAGTCAGAATGCATATCTGCACCGACTTCTGTCAAACTGCAGACACCAGCTTTTCTTTTTTCTTCTTCGTTTAAATGTTCAGTTAAACATATTCTATTACCAGGCTGTCTTCATAACAAAGGTCCTGTAATTCAAAATGTTTTCTTAAATTAAATCTTCAAATTAATATTATTATTAGCAATGCAAAGTGACTACTGTGACTGCTTGGCATGATACTTTAAGATAAGATAAGATAAGATAACCTTTATTAGTCCCACACGTGGAAAATTTGTTTTGTCACAGCAGGAAGTGAATTTTATTTTACTTTATTACAAATGGTCACAGTAGTTCCCTTTTCCCTCCAAACAGTGTTACAATATATTTCAGTAAATTTGATTTCATACAGTTCCCTAAAACTCCAGTTCCCTATTGTTTTTCCTCAGTAAAAACGAAACAAAAACAAACGTATTTTGTGTACACAAAACCATGACCTACACATGCTGAACAACAGTGAGCAGTGGCATCATGCTTGTGGGTACAGTTGTGTTCCTGTTCAGTAATCACTGTGTAATATTTTCATTACCAAACCTTGAAGAGAGCTAGAATGAATGTGCTCTTTTGATTGGTCACAAGGCTCAGCTGACGAATCAGTCAAGCCTGGAAATCCAGTCAGCACTGGGTCAACACACTTTTGTCGTGATAACACAAAACCCTCACCAACAGGTTCTCTTCTTGTAAGACTGCTGCTGTTAACCTTTTCTCCTCAACGTAACAGCAGATGCATTGAGTGGAATCTCCTGTGTACAGCCTGATTATTCATCAGAGGGCATTTATTTGTAATAAGGACATAACGGCTGTAAAAACACCAACATTGCAGAAAGCATTTGAAAGGTGTGATGATTAACAATGCAAAGTGAATGAAAACCTGTAGCAGACCTTTAACACATCCCATAAAAAGGTTTCTACTCAAAGTTAAATATTATTCAGGAAATTTAACAATCCAAGGCGTCTCCAGCTACTTCCCTCCGCCTGCTGTAGAAGTTAACCATCACATGAGAGCAGCCAAATGTGATGGACTACATCTGATAACACAACGAGCTTTGTTACGTAAGCAAAGCATAGCTTCTTTGGGTTGGGCTAACATGCCTGAACTTCCAGACATCAATTTTAGACTACTGTGCCAGCCTCAGAGTAACAAGACACAGAGGCCCAGCATTCACAGCGAGTGGTTACATTGTTATAAACAGACGAAGGTTTCGTATAAGCCTGTGCAAATAAGAACTTTTAAGGGCAAAATTTAAATCACTTGAGAAAGTCTACCGTTTTCTATAATAGTAGAGCGAGCTCGCAACGCGCACGGTGCGCAATGGGGCTGATTCTGTATCGCCCCATATAAGGATTTTATACCCTAGTAAGTTCCCTAATTTAAGAGTTAACTTAAAACTTCAAGCGTTACTTACCAAGCCTCTTCATTCACTTTCCGCCCGTTTGTAACATAAACAAAACCCGCACGCGAATTCTTCGGCGTCAAAACACACCGGACTCCCCGGCAGCTCCAACTTTCAAATCCCAACTCGTTCAGATGAGGAGAAACGTGCGCGCGCAGGCAGGCGCACACGCACTCGCACGGATACATCGACTTCTATCTTTTGTTTTAGTTAATACAGATTTAACAAAGGCTTTTGTGTGCATGTTTCTATGACCCGGACGCCTAAATGACGCAGACTACTGCACTGAACAAATATCTGAATGTCAGGAGTTTTATGAAGCTACGTGGGGTAAATAAAATCTACAACCCTGTACTGCCAATTCAAAACTCGCTGTACATTGGAGCAGCTCTCGCGAGATCCTCTGTGCTTTGGAACAGCTGACTGTGCTGTGGGTGTTGTGTGTGAGATTGCTTACTTCGAGTAGATAGCAAAACAGTCGCTAGATAGCGGTTTGAATTTTTGTGCTGTTTAGGCGCTGATAATCATTTACATCACAACATGGCTGAGACGGACCCCAAATCGGTGCAGGACCTTACCAATGTGGTGAGTCGTGATCGCGAGGCAAGCTAGCTTTAGCCACAGTAGCTTAGCCTTAGCTAGCAAAGCCAATAACAATGCTAACGATAGCAAGCTATCTGAGCTAGCAAATTTTAGCACTTATGCGGTGTTTCGTGGATTTTGTTTGGTTTGTAAAACTCTAGATTCAAATGATGTGTGTGTTGAGCTTGTTGCATCCAAACCACAATCCCAGACTTTAGCTCCAGAATGTTATGTAATGGTCAACCGGTCATGTAAATGGCATCACCAAATTTCAACGAGTAAACTGCACAGAATTATGTAAAAGTTACCTGCAGTACATTTTCTATTCTTATTCACCTGGCACTTATATATAGTAGGTTTCCCTTATCAGTATCTGACTACTGAATATCGCGCAGTTTCACACTTAGACCTTAAAATGTACAGATTATATGTTAATGATCCTTTTAGTGTTTCCTATACGACCAAGCCTGCGTAGGCAGTGTTTGAGTGTTGCCATAGAGATGGGGGTCAGTGAGAGACGTTCAGCTTCAGTAAACCTCGCAAACGTTTAAAAACCACCTCCGCTAGTTTGAGTCATGTGTTGTTATGCATTACCTAGTTTCCTACAGTTGTATTCACACAGATTTAAAGAAGCTGAGGATTAACGTGACTGTTATGTGAAGGAGATGCAGAATAAAGAGATGGGGTGGGGGGGCACTGCAGGTGTACTTGTTACAGTAAATCATAGATCCATAGTCAAGCTTTTAAGATGTTGGCATAGAAACAAATTCCCCATTGTTCACGCTTTGATTCACAGACCATATGCTTAAGTGTTTGTATCTGACAGTGTTATGACTTCACTTTATATCTCCATAAACTTTAACTACTAAGTGGCTCCAGTTTCATAATTTCTGCTTTTTTCCCTCCACAGGTTCAGACTCTGCTGCAACAGATGCAGGACAAGTTCCAGACCATGTCAGACCAGATCATTGGAAGGAATATCCTAATAATCATGTTTTATTGATTATATGCATCAAAGTTAATAATTGTAGGCTGGATCATTTGTTCCGTGTTAGCTGACTTTGTGATTTCCAGTTGTAATTACCTGCCTTAACTAATTCTCCACTTGATGAAATGAGCACACGTATTGATGACTTGGAAAAAAACATTGCTGACCTGATGACCCAGGCTGGTGTTGAGGAGATCGAGGCACCACCAGAAAAAGCTAAAGAGGGTCAAGGATCATAATGAAGGTAATAAAGTAGTCGGCACATGTAGCTTCGTCAGTTTTCCTGTAAATATGTCGAATGTCAGCTTTAATAGTGAATGTTTTTCTAAATCTGTCCCACAGGTTCCTAAATCACAAGGCGTGAAGTCGGTCCTGTATTCAGGAGCAGCAGACTTTTCCCATTCTGAAAATGACTAATATTGATTTGGTGTGTCGTTGTGTGAAATGCTTTTTTATATATTGTGAAATGGTTATGTAATGACTTGAAAATTTGAACGTTACTTGTAAGCTAGAGTAGTGTGACATGCCCTTCAGCACCTCAAGTGCTCATGTGCAGGATTGCAGATTTAGCGTACTAACCTGGAGGTTATTTTCATATACATGTATATCAGTAGTTGAATTCCTTGACACGAAAGCAGACAGTGTTGGTTTTACCCTAGCCTCTGACGAGGACTAAAACTTGCAGGCTAACAGGTTAGTAAAAACCTCCAACCCAGCGTCCGCACCAACACGGTGCAGCGAATCTCTAAAGCAACAGTGTTTCACAGTGAGCACTGTTACAACCATTGTGTGGGATGCATTCCAATCCTGATAGTCTTCTATTAAAGCTATTTAATACACGGCTGTTTGTCATGTATGGTCAATATTTGGAAAGAGGGGTGCACTATGAAGTGACATCAGTGAGTTATTGGAGTTGGTCAAACTTAAAATCAGTTTTCTGTCATGAAAACTGATTTTAAGACAAGCGGCTCTTTTAACCTAAGTCACTATGGTTACTTAACCTGAAGACATAAGCCGCTCGGCAGCAGGTTATGTTCAGAGTTTGTTTTTTTTTTATCCACAGCATTTTTAAAAAGTGTTATTTATACACATGTTCGGGGAATAAGTTTTATATGTCACAAGTTGTTAAGCTGCACTTTAGTGGAACCACTAAAATCATCGTCAGGAGATTGCATTATGTATGTGCATGTTTATTTTAGTGAAGCAAAAAAAAAAAAAAGTATAAATGTTACACTTTATTCCATCTCTTTCCTGCTTATCCAGTTCAGATGTGTGGGGGGGACTGGAGCCTATCCCAACTATTTAGTACAGCAGTGTCAAACTCCAGGCCTCGAGGGCCGGTGTCCTGCAGGTTTTAGATGTGTCCTTGATCCAAAACAGCTGATTTAAATGGCTAAATAACCTTCTCAGCATCTCGATGTTCTCCAGAGGCCTGGTAATGAACTAATCATCTCATTCAGGTGTGTTGACCCAGGGTGAGATCTAAAACCTGCAGGCCTGGAGTTCAACACCCCTGATTTAGTACAACTGCAGCTACCAGCATACAGAACCCACACAAAGAGTACTAATGTGAAATTCATTTCGCAATCTGCTGACAAATGAAAGCGATTTGTGCATTTCCTTTACATCAGGCACATTTAATGTATCCAGTCTAAAAGACCCAAAACTATTTCTAAGGTGACAGCACTGAAATCACACTCAGCAGTAACATAAATTCTAATGTTTACCACTTTATGCACCAAATCCAGTTTTTACACCACCTGATAACGTCTCAGATTGGAGTAGATGGCACTTGGATCATTTTGCGTGGACACAGTCACGATGCATGAAACCGCTTTTTACACGAGCGCACTGAGCTGAAAGCAGAAATCTCTTACTGGAGTTTTAAGTTTTGTCAAGCCAGCTACGGCAAAGACAGCCTGCCTGTGTTGAATGTTCTTCGTAGCATACCCCTCTGGTGCTGACAGAATTTTTAACAATACATCCAACTGCGAGGTGCTCTGCATTTTTCTGTAGTTTTGTTTTTTAAACCAGAATCGTATTTTCAGATGCAAAATCTGTGGAACGTCTCAGTGTTGCATGGTTTTTAAATCTATATTGTTTATAATGTAATGAAATTATAATCAAACTCTTAGGTTAGGACAGTTTGTAAAATGTAAATAATAAAAACGAACCGAAATCATTTAAACCCTGCATGTTGAAACTTCATGAGCACCACAGGGACACCAGGGGTTTTAGAATTAATAAGGACAATGACACGTATGTGAGCCCATCATGTACAGTGCATAATATCAGACGTATGGAGTGACACGGCACAAAAATAAGAATCTTCAGTCACTGGGCTCAGAAGCACTTATTGTCATTAATCACTTTGTCATCGCATCCACAGATGAAATTATCTACTGTAAACTTTACTGTACTATGAACTGGAAAATGCAACTTTTACTTTAAAAACTACACATTTAGTCTCATCAGTTCAAGAAGAGGTCACACAACACGCTGGAAAACACCGGTCATAAAAGTTTGTTTAAATGTATTTCTGCCCTTAAATAAAAATCAGCGCATGCATATATTTTCATTTATTTTTTCCAAAAAGCAAAATCTGTTGTCTTTGTACCATTTTAATTAAATATGGGGTTTAAAGGATTTTAAAGTTACTGCCTTTTTATTTGCATTCTAATCAGTGTTTTTCTTATTGTTAATTTTAAAGCTCTGTGTTTAGAATGAACTGTCTTTGTTAATGCAAACTGACACCAGCAGAATTATGCATTTGAAACAACACTTCCCCCAAAAGTGGTGTTTAAGAACTCGTGACAGCTTCTTTGGCCCGTTACTGCCTAATGGGAACCTTTATTCAGATTAATGCAAACAAAAACATACAAACAGCAAATAACAGCAGTTTTTCCAAAGAAAGTGTCGAACAAAAACAAACACCACTAAGCAAAAGCACATTAAGCACAGCTCGATCGTACCACACACTTATAAGTACAACATGGGCAGTCTTTGAAAATACAATAAATGCAGCATTAAAGTACTGTATGTAAAATTAACGGAGTGGTTCCTGAATTGCAGCTTATGTCACCTTTTAAGACGAGAGACTTGAATAAGTTTTAGGTTAGAACTCAAAGTCTGCCTCTGTCATGTCGATGGCCCAGGCAAACTTCTCCCGTTGGGTTTTATTGTAGATTTTCTCTATAGGTACCTCCATGTTTTTACACCTGAATAGATGGGAGGAATATTAAAAATGAGCCTAAACGTCTTTATTCAGGTTTAGATCTTTTCACCTAGAAACAGACGGTAAAGTTGAAACAAACCAGCTATCACTTCTGAGTCTATGGGGAAAATATCAGTATACATCTTGTGTTATATATTTACCAGCTGGTAGAGTTCACTCACCAGGCCACGGATATCCGCGGGTCTAAGTAGTTGAGCTTTGAGGTACCCAGAGCGATCTGTTTGTTCTCTTCCCTGTCGGTTGCCTGGACCTCCAGCTTCAGCAGCTGCTCTTCACAACGCTTCACTGCGGCCTTTTTCCGCTCCACCAGCCTGACGGAGAAGGAATCATCACTGGTACAGATATGTGTGAATGGAAGAACCTTTTTGTATCACTTCCTCTCACAGTGTAACAATTAAAGAGGAGTTCGTGTAAATATTTGAAAATAGTAGAAAAGACCCGAAAACAAACCATTTTTACTGGGGGGGGAATAAATCTGATGTTGTCATTGCAAACGCATTCAGCGCATACCCTATTTACCCTGTGATGAAAATATTAGATATCATGAAACCATTCATTGCCTAAGAGTCATTCGAATGAATGATACTCTAAAAGTAGGAGGCATACAAGAAAAAGGAAAGAACGATGACATAACTCCAGCAGTGCACCGTGGATTGCACCGCAACCATTTTAAAACCTTTATTCTGATCTCAGGTACACACCTGTAAAGTTTCATGCTCTTGGTTTTTTGTGTGTTCAGGACAGAAAGATATCAGGTATCTGCCAAAATGGTTAAAGCTACTTAGTGGTAGCCCTCAGTCCAACGCATGGACAGGACAAGATGTTACCAAAGCTTCTCTTTTGTCCTCCGCCGCACCACTACTGACCAGTGTTGGTCAAGTTACTTGAAAAAAGTAATC